AGAGAGAGAGAGAGAGAGAGAGAGAGAGAGAGAGAGAGAGAGAGAGAGAGAGAGAGAGAGAGAGAGAGAGAGAGAGAGAGAGAGAGAGAGTCGGGCCTATATGGTGACCTCCTGTGATCGTGGTTGCAAAAATCACTGCCGCACGGGAGACTTCTAGCGCCCGAAGTCGTTAATGACAGTCTCCTGACGTATGTTTTGGGTTATATATTTGGACTAATCCTTGCAAAAAGTGCATTGGCAATGTGTTCACTCTGAGAAGACTGAAGTTTGCGATAGAGGAAACGGGAAAGAGAGAGAGAGCGAGAGAGAGAGAGAGAGAGAAATCGAGTGAGAGTGAAGAGAAAGAAAGAGAGGGAGTGAGAGCGAAGAGAAAGAAAGAGAGGGAGGGAGAGACAGAGAGAGACGGGGAGGGAGGAAAAGCAAGAGAGGAAGGAAAAAATAGAAAGAGAAAGAAAAAGAGTGAGAGAAGGGGAGCAAGAGGGAAAGGGAGAGGGGGTTCGGGAACGAGCGGGGGCCTCGAGCGTGGGTCTGCTAGCGAGGTGTCGGGGACAAGACGAGTTTGTGGCGAAGCGGATGGGCAGGCGAACTGTCGCGGGTGGAAAATTCTCATTTTCTTTTTGGTGCCGCTTTCCTGTTGTTGTTTTTTTAGCTTGTTGCTTTCCATAGGAGGATCAATAACTTTTCGCAATTGTCTAAGAAAATACGGTTCGCTAAGTCCGAAGTCAGACAACTACGTTCAGGCGGCATTAAGTTTCGTTGCTTTTCCTTCCGGTCGATCTGTGGGCTCCTACGTAAGAATATTGATCGATGCTTTCCCGAGAAGAGGGCAAACTGGTACGCCCGGGTTGTTCCCGTTGTGCGGGCCTTTTCTTTCATCTATGTCTGGTCGGGTCGTCGGGCGAGGAGCTAGCAGCTTGCCTAAGTCAAGGGGAACAGTCTTGTCGTTCTTGAAAGAGGCAGAATGGGGAGGCAAAGAGGGAAAGCAAAAGGAAACCGACAAAAATAAAGGGGCACAAGTCAACCACTGCTAAACCACGAGCGACATGGTCCGCACGACGGTAGCAAAAAGGCTGGCTAGGTTTGGAGGCCGTTTGTCAGCTTGGGACTAGCGGAAAAAGGGGGGAGGGGTAAATAAGGAGGTATTGACTAACAGGGCTTGAGGATCCTTGGGAGGGTAGCTGGGAGGTCGTAGCGCACACGAAACGTGTCCGGTGCCAGGCTCAACGTTTGCCGAAGTCGGGCCTCAATGTCAAGCGGCAAGGAAGCCCCAACGGACACCATGCACCAGCGCCTATACCACCTCTAAACCACACCGGACCATTCAATTTCTATCTGTCATACAAATACGACCCCAAAAATATAACGGCGAAGTCCTTAGTCACCACGCCGTCAAAGTCGATCGGCGATCGCTTAGTCACACCATCCTCTGATCACCAAAAAAAATATTCTCGCCACGTCGTAATATAGGCAGCACAAGCTGCACAACCCCACTGAAAGTGATGCTGCCACCGTGCCAAAAAAAATGGCAGCACTTCCCCACTAACAGTGCCGCTGATGTCATGCCAAAAAAATGGCAGCACTTCCCCTTAGAAAGGCCTTGATGTCGGCGCACCGCCAGTCAGGCAGCATCTCCCTACTGAAAGTGTTGTTGTCGTAGCCTTACGGCCGCAGCACCTGCCAGACGCACGGTGCACGCACAAGGATGGGCAAAAAAACTCCCAACCCTCAGCTATGGCTGGCTTCCATCTCCCCCTCCAACTCTTTGCAGACCTCCACTCTCCTCCACCAGCAGACCACCACTCCACCAGCAGCATCTCCCTTCCACCAGCACCAGCACTCAAATGCAACAGCAAGCTAGCACTCAACGAGTGAAAGTTTCTGCAACACTACCACATTTGTGAGGCTGTTGGGTGGAATGTTGACTTTTATAGTCAGTCGATGGTTGTGGGCAGCTGCTTTGCCCTCAGCCAGAATTCATAACTCGCCTTAGCCCTTGATCTGAGCCGCGATCAAGGGCTAGGAACCTTGAGGTTCCCCTATGGGAACCAAGATCCGGGATACCTTGAAGCATCAGGCCTTTCTTTTAGGCCACATGCTTCTGAAGATGGTTGTATTCAACCATTTGCTGCAACCTGTTCAAAATGAACAGTTGCAGTATTTTCCTCCTGCTAGAAACTTCCACCCCCTACATCAATGCCATACTCGCGGCCACATACGTGGTTGTTGCTTTTTTTTCCCTCCTTTTCTTTTATTCCCCTGTTCCCCCCTTTATTTCTCTGTGCAAGGGGCAACTCACCGTTCAAAACGAACGGCCACCCTCTCCTCTCAGTCATTTCACATAGTCGAACTACAGTCAAGCTCAATAGGGTCTTCATTCTCCCCTCCCACATCTGTATCTGGCACATTTGGAGCACTGAATTCAAGTGCTTCACCGAATGGTTGTAGCCCCTTTAAAAGACGAGCGTGCACAGTTTTTCATAAACCAGAAAACAAAAAAAATGAATAAATAAGAAAACCTAGGCTACCAGTTGTCCGATTGCCGGTTGTCCTAGCCGGACATCCTGTGTGGAGTTGTCCGGGATCCCGGACAACTCATTTTTTCAAATTTGGGAGGCCAAAAAAAAAAAAAAAGGGTCTGTGTCGCGCACCACCAAGGGACCCCACAAAATGAATTTAAGGTCATTTGGAGCAAAAAACCAAAAAAGGAAAACGGTGGTGGGGGTGGGGGGGGGGGGGGGGGGGGGGGGGGGGGGGGGGGGGGGGGGGGGGGGGGGGGGGGGGGGGGGGGGGGGGGGGGAAAAAAAAAAGGGGGGGGGGGGGGGGGGGGGGGGGGGGGGGGGGGGGGGAATGTGTGCAAGCCACGCACACAGAATCAATCGATCAATCCATCAATCAATCCTTCAATCCGAATCCAATCAACAGATTGGATTGGATCTCGAAAATCCAATCGATCGATTGGATTTTCAATATCCAATCCAATCTGTTGATTGATTGGATTCGGATTGAAGGATTGGCTGATTGATTGATTGATTGATTGATTGATTGACAACGGATAGAGAAGTGTAGAGGATGAAGAAAAGGACAATGGCGAGAAGGGGACGTGGCGGCTCGAGTGAGTGGAAATGGCGATGCGGCGACGACAGAGGGTGATGACGTGGACAATGATAAAAGGGATGAGGAGGAGGAGGAGCGGACGGGGGGGGGGGCGAGCAGGAGGAGGACGACGACGGCGGCGGCGACGAAGAAGAAGAGGTAGAAGAGGAGGACGACGACGGCGGCGGCGACGAAGAAGAAGAGGTAGAAGAGGAGGACGACGAAGAGGCGGAGGAAGAGGAGGAAGAGGAGAAGGAGAAGGAGAGGAGGAGGAGCGAACGGGGGGTTGGCGAGGAGGAGGAGGACGATGACGACGACGGCGACGAAGAACAAGAGGTAGAAGAGGAGGACGACGAAGAGGCGGAGGAAGAGGGGGAAGAGGAGAAGGAGAAGGAGAAGGAGAAGGAGAGGAGGAGGAGGAGCGGACGGAGGGTGGGCGAGGAGGAGGAGGAGGACGACGACGACGGTGATGAAGAAGAAGAGGTAGAAGAGGAGGACGACGAAGAGGGAGATGAAGAGGAGAAGGAGAAGGAGAAGGAAAAGGAGGAGAAGAGAAGGAGAAGGAGAAGCAGGAGGATGACGAAGAAGAAGAAGAAAAAGACGAAGAAGATGAGGAGGACGACGAAGAAGAAAAGAACGGTTAAGAAGAGGAGCGGTGCAAGTCGGAGTTAATGATTGATTTAAAAAAAAAAAAAAAAAAAAAAAAAGGGGGAGGAACAGTGCAAGTACGACTTCGACTGTTCCTCCCACCATCTTTTTTTTTTAATCAATCAATCAATCACCCAATCCTTCAATCCGAATCCAATCAACAGATTGGATTGAATCTTGAAAATCCAATCGAATCTGTTGATTGGTTTTGGATTGAAGGATTGCTTGATCGATTGTATTTTCAAGATCCAATCCAATCTGTTGATTGGATTCGGATTGAAGGATTGGTTGATTAATTGATTGATTGATTGATTGATTGATTTTTTTTTTTTTTTTTAATCATTCATTAACTCCTCTTAAAGGGGGAGTGCTCTTAAATTCAATGACGAAATGTGATTTCTACTTGTTGTTCTGATGACGACAAGTCGCACATGTTTTTTAAAAAAAAACTAAGGAGGAGGAGGAGAAGGAGGAAGAAGAAGAGGACAAGGACGACGAGGAGGAGGATGGCGATGACGAAGAAGAAGAGGAGGAGGAGGGCGAGGAGGGGAACAAGACGACGAAAATAATGGACAACACTGATGAGGAGGAGGTGGAGGACTAGGAGGAGAAAGAAGATGATGATGATGAGGAGGAGGAGGACGATGGCGACGACCAAGAATAAGAAGACGAGGAGGAGGAGGAGGAGGAAGAAGGAGAAAAGGAGGACAAGGATGGCGAGGAGGAGGAGGGCGGCGGTGAAGAAGAAGAAGAGGAGGACGAGGAGGACGAGGAGGAGGACGAGGAGGACGGGGGCGATGGACGACGTCGACGAGGAGGACGGGGGCGATGGACGACGTCGACGAGGAGTAGGTAGAGGACTAGGAGGAGGGAGAAGATGAGGAGGCGGAGGAGGAGGAGAAAGGGGAGGAGGAGAAAGTGGACGGAAAGGAGGAGGAGGAGGAGGAAAAAAAGATGGAGGGAAAGGAGGAAGGGGAGGATGAGGAAGAGGAGGGAAAGGAGGAGGAAGAGGAGAAAGAAGAGAGAAACACGGAGGATGAGGAGGGTACGCACCTGCTGCTTGCATGGAGGATGAGAGAGACATGGAGGAAGAGGAGGCCCAATGGCGACGCGGCAACGTCCAACTCCCGCGACGTGCCCAAGTCACGCACAAGCGGAAGGCACAACAGAATTTGAATTCGAATTCGGTCCGATCTGGGCCGTAGATGTCTTAGATCTAATGGCCCAGAGCGGACCATTTTCATTTTCGATTTGGGAGGCCCTATAGGCCTCAGAAAAATGGTGCGTCCCTCCCAGGGGTACATCATACCCGAAATCCCACCCCCGCAGGCCCAAAAGCCTTAAACTCCCGTTCACAGATTTTTCCACTAACCCGGACTTCGGGCCCAGCTCAGATGACCGGGGAAGTTGTCCGATCGGACATCCCGACCCCAAAAAGGGTCCCGGACGTCCGGGCTGGTAACCTAGAAAAAAAAACAAAATCTAAAGAAACCAACTAAAAAAAACAAAAAAGAAAAAACGGACTTACCTCCTCTCACGCCCAAGACTTCAACAGCTCTCAGCCCGTTGATACCAACGAGTGTTGAAGCTGAACAGACCCCGCTGTCCTATAGGGGAATGAATCCTCTACTGTAGCACGCCAATGTGTGGCCTATTCCGTGAGCCAGATTCAGACGGCCCTCCAAAAGTTGTTGACCGTTCCAAAACGAACGGGGGCAACTTCATAACACATACCAGAAGTGGAGGGCAGTGTATATTTCCATGCTCTAGTGGAAGATTCATTCGATTTTGTTCATCCTACCGATGTACCACGAGGCCAGGCGCAAAGTTGAAGACTTACCTGTTGGCTGCTGCGTTGCTCCACGTCGTCACCAGGTAAGCCCCTCCCCCTCACTCTCTCACGCACATACCTGTAGTGCATGGCACCATCTTCTAGTGGTAGATTCATTCAATTTCCGTCCCCCTATCAATGGAAGTACCCTCTTTGCAGCCCGTTTCTCTAAAACAAACGAGCGTAGAGAGGAAGCTACCATTCGTAAAAACGAAAAAAGGGGGGGGATCTAAAAAGAAGAAGACGGCAAAAAAATCTAAAATAAAATCTAACAACAAATCCAAGAAAAAAATCAAAACAAGAAAGAAAAGAAAAACCTGTTTTCAAAACGAAACGGCTGCCCGATAAAACGAGCGTGTGCACTGTCCTTAACAAGTCTAACTCCCTGTCACTTCAAAGTGCGTCATCTGGCTTCACGTGGCTTTTCAACCACGTCTTCTAAAATGCAGACCCAAGTTCGATCCCCTCAGGGGATCAAAACAATTTGGACTATTCCTCGATTTATGTGTGTCGTCCTTGCGCAGGGGCCAAATCAATCTTGGCGCGACGGAATTCAGCCGCTCGATCTCAAAGATCGCACGACCGAAATTGGTCGCGCCCAACTGCCCTCTCCTACATGGCTTGCTCCAAAAGAAGTCAGCCCAGTGGTGCATGTCAGATTCGATCCCAGCATCTGCGGGGTGAGACTCTGATACGTTAACCTACTTGGGTGGCTCCTACCACGAGAGTAATAGGAGCATCTCTTGTATGAGAAGAGCTTAGCCCGGCTACCTTGCCCGCTTATAGCATAGCAGGCATTGCCCGCTCCATCCCTTAGCCTAGTTGGAATTACCTGCCTTGGTCGACCATTGAACTGGTCGCTATGCAAGGCTCGACAACGTCCAACCTAGCTAGGTGGACTACCTGGCCCCTAAACTGTCGATGCGGCTACGGGCCCCAGAAGGAGTCACATCCGGCGGCCCGAAAAACAAATAGGCTTCCTATTCCTCCTCCGTCGTAGCCCCATATCAGGCGCGTTCGTTCTTTTTTGCCTACTCGGGCCCTGAATCGCATGGGTATTATTTTAGGTAGAATAGGTCTAGCTTTAGCGTTCCCACGTCCGGGTGCCTCTGCGGCCCTGCTAGAAACCGCCAACTACCGCCATTACTCCTGGATGCCACAGACGTCCAAATTAAGGTTCAAATAGTTTTAGTCTCTCGATCACAGACTTAGTCTAAATAAACTTTTGGCAATCGTCGGTCTCATCAAGTCCCTCAATTTAACAAAAAATTAGGAAAGTATCTGACGTTTAAAATCCCCGGCAAATACTCTTGTAAGGGTATTTGCCCTGACAGCATTCCCGGACCCCATTGAACGACGTCCCTGCTGTTCACCATTAAAATAAAAGGTCGGGATTCTTATGAACTTTCCATGTAAAAGCAATAAACACAATACACAATAATTTTAGAATTCGCTCGGAACTAAGCTGCAGCCTCCATCCCACTGGCAACCAATCAAGAATTTTTAGTATCTTAGAATGGTACTGAAAGCCCTCCAACTAGTTCCAAACTGTATCCATTCGGTTGGTACTCACGTTTCATCTGGACAGAATCCAAATAAGTCAGGAATAACCCCTGACGGGTCTTTCTAGATGTACCAACCTCTTGGAAGTTGTTCAGACAAAATGTGAATGACCCAAAAAGTCTTTATCTTAATCAAAATCACATCTTAACTAAATAAATAATTCACGTCGCAACTTTTATTTTCCATATAAGTCCTTGAAGAGTGCACTGATCAAGACAGGTCTCCCTGTCGCAAGCAAACTCTTCAAAAGACAAAGGAGAACATCGATCAAGACAAATTTCATTGGCGCACACGAACTCCTCTATTTTAGAAGAAAACATTGATCAAGACGGTTACCCCCTTGCAGAAGAACTTTTCTCTAAATCAGAAGAAAATGTTGATCAAGACAGGTTTCTCTACCGCATACAAGCTCCTCTCTACTCCAAGTTGAGAGCAGAACGTTGATTAGGACAGGTCGTCCTGCCGCAGACGAACTGCTCTCCCTAAATCTTTGAAAAGAAATTTGATCAAGATAGATTGCTCGGCCGCAAGTATACCCTTCAAAGATCGAGGAGAACCCTGATCAAAGTAGGTTTCCCTGCCGCTGACGGACTCCTTTTCATTCCATTCTTGAAGAGAAGGTTGATTAAGACTGGTTGTCTCATCGCATACCTACTCCTCAAATTTCAACTAATAACCAAAATGAAGAAGAACGTTGTTTCAGACAGTTTGCCCTGTCACTGACGAACTCTTTATTGATCTGAGTTGCGACATGAAATTAGTATAGCAAAATTTACTATATTTTATATCATGTCAAATGTTGTTAACATTTTTGTGATATGCATCAAGGAGTGGTGTCATCCTCTTCAAGGGATAACATCTCGGCATCAAAACCCACCATATTCCGTTCGATTTCGGTATTTTAAATACTCACCAATTTATCAGTATGAATAGGGTAACTTAACCCTTACTGAGTCTGATATGAGTTACCAGCTCACCTTCTTTCCTAGCAAGACGAACTCGGTAAAAACAATCGAGCTTTGGTGGTAAATCCAAACCCAATGTTTTTAACAGTAACTTCCTAGGTCACCATCAAAATTGATGACCACCTTCCAAATTTTCATCCCTTTCAGTGATAGTATAGTTTTCCTTCCTTAAACCATATACGATTCGGATCACAACATCTCACTATGGACCAAGAGTATAACTGCGACGCAGGCCTCACTATCACCTATCGAGCTCACAGTTTTATCACAAAAGCATCGTGGAATGAAAACAAACAAGATCTCAAAGCTATAATGTTAAATATATAACTCAAATACATATTTGGATAAAGAAGATTTTAAAAACTCACATATAAATCTATTGATTGCCTTATGGTTATCACACTCATAAGGTTAGTACGTCACCATCGCGACCAAAAGTTACGTTGATCTATAGAGAAATCACATATTTCTGCTTTTGTCCACGATGGCAAATGCAATAACAAAATGTAACAATTTGAGTCATAAATCAAAATGTAGATCAAGATTTTTATTGAATATACTTTTGTAGACGTTTCAAACACTGTTACACAAAGAATACCAAATATAGTAAAATTCAACAAACTTAGATCAAGATAATTATAAAATGGTCTGACACAAATTCTGTTTATGAGAGGATGAAAATATAGAAAGTCATTATCCCTCAGAAAACTACAAAGTTTCGTAAAAAACTCAAACCAGAAATTAAACAACTTATTTTTCGTCCACTTTCGACCCCTTAAAC